GTTATCAATCCAGCTGTTATTGATACTGATTATCAATGCAGCTATTATTGATCCCGGTTATCAATGCATCATTACTGATAAGGGTTATCACAGTTTATCAACACTGATAAGGGTTATCAATTCAGCTGTTACTGACACAGCCTATTGAAACTGATAAGGGCTACCAATCCAGCTGTCACTGATCCAGGTTATCAATCCAGGTCAGTTTGTTTCTGACACAGCCTATCAACACTGATAAGGGTTATCAATCCAGGTGTTACCGACACAGCCTATCAATACTCATAAGGGTTATCAATGCATCATTACTGATAAGGGTTATCAATCCAGCTGTTTTTGACACAGCCTATCAACACTGAAAAGGGTTATCAATCCAGCTGTTACTGATCCAGGTTATCAATCCAGCTGTTACTGACACAGCCTATCATTACTGATCCAGCTTATCAATACTCATCAGGGCTATCAATCCAGCTGTTCCTGACACAGCCTATCATTATCAATCCAGGTTATCCATCCAGCTGTTACTGACAGCCTATCAACATTGATCCAGATTATCAATCCAGCTGTTTCTGACACAGCCTATCAACACCGATAACGGCTATCAATCCAGCTGTTACTGATCCAGGTTCTCAATCCAGCTGTTTCTGACACATCCTATCACACTGATAAGGGTTATCAATGCATCATTACTGATAAGGGCTATCAATCCAGCTGTTTTTGACACAGCCTATCATTACTGATCCAGGTTATCAATCCAGCTGTTACTGACACAGGCTATCATTACTGATCCAGATTATCAATACTGATCAGGGCTATCAATCCAGCTGTTACTGACAGCCTATCAACATTGATCCAGGTTATCAATCCAGCTGTTACTGACACAGCCTATCAACACCGATAACGGCTATCAATCCAGCTGTTACTGATCCAGGTTATCAATCCAGCTGTTACTGACACAGCCTATCAATACTGATAAGGGCTATCAATCCAGCTGTTACTAACACAGGTTATCAATCCAGCTGTTACTGACACAGGTTATCAATCCAGCTGTTACTGACACAGGTTATCAATCCAGCCGTTACTAACCCAGCCTATCAACACCGATAACATCTCTCAATCCCTCTCCCCATCTGGCAGCAGCAGGGGTGGTACCTTGTGTCAGGGAGGTGTCGGAGGCGCGCCGCCCCTCTCGGAAGCTGACCGGGGAGCGGTTGTGCGCCTCCCGYTTGTGGCAGCCCAGCGCCTGCATGGCGGGGTTGGCCGGACGCAGCCCCAGCAGCGGCGCCGCCACCCGCGGGCTCTGCTGGCTGCTCAGCACCATCTCCTTCAGGGAAGGAGCCTCTCCCAGCAGCTTCAGATCCCTCTGCATGGAGCCCATGTCGTACTCGGAGTCGATGCTGCCCAGGGATGAGTTCTCGTCCARGGAATAGACTTTTCCTGGGACAGAAACCAAAAACCAGGATTAAAGGTGAGCGCAGCTACCCCTGCCAACAGCAGCTGTCTCAGAGTGAACAGCCAAAAACGTCAAATTTCATAAAGGAATTGTCAAGTTTCATAAACAAATTGTCAAGTCCAACAGGCGTTTTTGGGGATTTCCAGAATGGGGATTTGCCACTGTTTTTTGCATTGTTTTGCAGCATCAGACGCTGTGCAGGTGTTCACTGCCTTTTCCAGAATGGGGATTTGCCACTGGTTTGGTTTTTGCATTGTTTTGCAGCATCAGACCCTTTGAAGGTGTTCACTGCCTTGCCTGGAAAGCGTTTCGGGGGTTTTTTTCCTCCCCATAGATAATCCTGATGAGACTGTAACCTGACAAGCTTTGTCACCTCWCTGCTTTTGGAGTCCAAAGGGTTTTATTTCCCCAGAATCATTTGGGGACATTTAGTTGGAAAAGCAGCCAATTTGCCAGATTTTTCCAGTTGCTGTTTGGGTTCCACATGACTTTTACCACCTGCACATTTGATTTTATGCCGTTTCTACAGCAGATTTGGGGATGTTTTGTTGTTTTTTTCCCTTTGGCTTTTCCAACAAACTCAAACTCTCAAACTCATCACTCTCAAAACCTCACGTTTTTCTTTGCTAGTTAATTAGACTGAGTTCTGAGGGAGAAAACGAGCTTTGAGCTGAGCTCTGTACCTGGGCCTGGCACCATCACCAGCTGGTTGGTGACCTCTGCCAGGGTGTGCCGCCTCTTCCCACCCCGAGCCGCCTGCAGGGCAGCGAAGGCTTGGGCTGGATCCTCCTCTGCCTCTCCTTCMGTCTCAATTCCTTCATCGATGGAGGTTTCCATCATGCTGGAGGGCAGCGATTGGCATCCCTTCCTCATCACCACGGGAGGCACGGGGTCCAGCAGGCAGCCGTTCACCTGGGGGCACAGAGATGGGGCAGCTTAGTTTGAGCCCAGCTTGGTTTGAGCCCGGCTTTGTTTGTGCCCAGCTCTGTGCCCAGCTTGGTTTGTGCCCAGCTTTGTTTGTGCCCAGCTTTGTTTGTGCCCAGCTTGGTTTGAGCCCAGCTTGGTGTGTGCCCAGCTTGGTTTGAGCCCAGCTCTGTGCCCAGCTTGGTTTGAGCCCAGCTTTGTTTGTGCCCAGCTTTGTTTGTGCCCAGCTTGGTTTGAGCCCAGCTTTGTTTGTGCCCAGCTTGGTTTGAGCCCAGCTTGGTTTCAGCCTAGCTTGGTTTGAGCCCAGCTTTGTTTGAGCCCAGCTCTGTGCCCAGCTTTGTTTGTGCCCAGCTTTGTTTATGCCCAGCTCTGTTTGAGCCCAGCTCTGTGTCCAGCTTTGTGCCCAGCTCTGTTTGTGCCCAGCTTGGTTTGAGCCTAGCTCTGTTAGTGCCCAGTTTTGTGCCCAGCTTTGTGCCCAGCTCTGTGCCCAGCTCTCTTTGCAGAGAAGAGAGCACCCCTGAAGGCAGCKGGGGTCTTGAACTCTGCTGAATTAAGTCAGATTTAAGTTTGTCCTGTACAATTCTTAAAAATTTCCTCCTGACGTTCCCTTAACAAGGTTCATGATGAAAAAACAAACAGCTGGGGGGAGTTACAGGRAAAAAATGCAGAATTCCTGCAACTCTGACACTTAAATATTCCCATTTCAGGAGGCAGCACTGTGCTTTTAAAAGACAGAAATCCTTTTTAGCTGTAATGACTTCTGGGAAAAACAAACCCAAAAAAGAATGGGGTGATTTGAAGCCGTACCTTTGGTGTCTCAACTCTTTCCTCCTCCATAAACGCCGCCTCCCTGGAGGCAGGGAAGGAAAAGGATTCTGCTCCCGAGGCTGAGGGAAGACCTGGAGACTGCAGCAGCCTCGGGTTTTGGGAGTGCAGGTTCACCGAGGGCACCACAGCTTGAGCCTAAAAAAAAAAATAAAATCAGATGTTAAAAACTCAAAACTGGAATGGTTTTAGGTAGAGAACATCCAGAGTCAKGGATTAAACAATGCACAGCCCCGCTGCCAAAGCAGAAGTGCAAGATTTGTTTCTTGGTTTGAGATGAATAACATTCTTAGCCTTCAAACTACAAAAAAAAATAACAATCCCACCCCCAAAACACACAAGCAAACCCCAAATGTCATTAAGCTCGGTACTTATTGGAGCTGACTTATTCCCAGCAGCACTCACTGAGTTTGGGGCTGAAATTCCCTTTTTTTTACTCAGTACAAAAGCTCCTGACTGGTACCAGCAGGCTCAGGGCTGCGTAAAGCAACTTTTTTAAAGGTAAAATGACTTTTTTAAGGTAAAATTACTTTTTTAAGGTGCTCTGATTGCTGTGGGGGAGAACAGGAGGGAGAACAGGCCGGGAATGGAGACATTTTGGAGGAGTGGAGTGGAGTTTCATTTTCAGAAGGGCCAAATGTGCTCAGAGATTGAAAAGCAAAGTTTGATAAATAGCTAAAAGTTTCTTAAAAAAATGGTGGCGTGCTGGGTTCCCTGCATTTACAGAAGGCTTAGCAATATAGTGCTGGGTGTCATAAAACGTGCCTTAATTTCCTTGGAAAAAGGGATTATCCTGARATAAATCAYGCTGGAAAGCAGCTTTACATTTGGAATGGCCACAAACCCAATTAACATTTTTGGAAACAACTTGAAGCTGTGTGAAGATATTCCTAAAGCATCAGCCTGGGTTATAAAAAAGGTATTGCTACTCTGGAGAGAATAATAATCACAGAGATTTTGGCATTTTTGACCTTCTTTGATAGGATCCCTATGGGGGAAAAAAGTGGCCCCACAAGTCCTAAATMTAAAACTCAACCAATTATKGTGTAYGACTGAATCCTGGGAAAAGAAAGGGAGTGTTAAYRRCCTGCATGGAGGAGAAAYACCACAATCTTGGCTAYTTTTTATGAARGCCAAGCTCACCTTGGCCACGCTCTGCTCGGCGATGGTGCTGGGCCGGCGCTGGCGCGCGTCCACGCGCTGCTCCACGGGGAAGCTGCTGCGGTGCGATTTCAGCCTCTCCACCAGCAGGTAATAGATGGCAGCGAAGTGRTTGTAGCTCTTGTTCTGCAGGGACTGCGGGAGGGAAGGACACAGAGTGGGGCAGCAGCCAGAGTGGGGTGTGTGCCCTGTTCTACCGCGAAAAACGGGGATTTTGGGGGATTTCTGGGGCAGAGGGGAGGCAAATGTTCCTCTAAACTGGAAAGGTGTCACATCAGATGGGTGCTGAGCTCCCAGACAACTCAGGTGTCCATCCAGGGACCCTTCTGAACCTGCAGGAGGGACTGAGCTGAGTCCTGAATCAATTGATGGTGTTAATCCCACAGAAATTCTGGATTTGTGGCTGTTCTACCGCGAAAAACGGGGATTTTGGGGCATTTCTGGGGCAGAGGGGAGGCAAACGTTCCTCTAAACTGGAAAGATTTCACACCAGATGGGTGCTGAGCTCCAAGACAACTCAGATGTCCATCCAAGTGTCCCTCTGAACCTGCAGGAGGGACTGAGCTGAGTCCTGAAGCAATTGATGGCATTAATCCCACAGAAATTCTGGATTTGTGGCTGTTCTACCGCGAAAAAACGGGGATTTTGGGGCATTTCTGGGGCAGAGGGGAGGCAAACGTTCCTCTAAAATGGAAAGATTTCACAGCAGATGGGTGCTGAGCTCCAAGAAACTCAGGTGTCCATCCAGGGACCCCTCTGAACCTGCAGGAGGGACTGAGCTGAGTCCTGACGCAGTTGATGGTGTCAATCCCACAGAAATTCTGGATTTGTGGTTGGCAAGAACGCTTTGGGACAGGGCAGGCACAGCAGCTGCATGTTTCACCTCATCTCAGCATATTTTACCCCATTTCAGTGTATTTTACCCAAATTTCACTGTATTTTATCCCCGTCTCTGTGTGTTTCACCTCATCTCAGCATATTTTACTTCCATCTCAGTGTGTTTTACCCCAATTTCAATGTATTTTATCCCCACCTCAGTCTGTTTTACCCCAATTTCAATGCATTTTACCCCAGTTTCAGTGTTTCACCCCCACCCGAGCGTGTTTTACCTCATTTCAGTGTATTTTACCCCAATTTCAGTGTATTTTACCCCAATTTCAGTGTATTTTACCTCCATTTCAGCATATTTTACCCCATTTCAATGTATTTTATCCCCACCTCAGTCTGTTTTACCCCAATTTCAATGCATTTTACCCCAATTTCAGCACGTTTCACCYCATCCCAGCATATTTTACCTCCAGAGTTTTCTGCTGGTCGATGCCCAGGCTGTGCATCAGCCTCAGCACCTGCTCGTTGTACTCTCCCAGGGCAGGCTCATTCTCRTTCTCATCCCCTGGGGGGTACAGGAGGGGTCTCTGGGCAGGAACCTCCACCAACATCCACTTGTGCTCCTTGATCTGAGCGATGCTCAAACGTTTGGACGGGTCCAGGACCAGCATCCTCCTGATCAGGTGCTCACACTCTGTTAAGGACGAGAAAAACAAATAAAAAATCTGAATTATTGACCAGCCCAGAGCTGCTGACAGAAGTGATGCTCTGAATCTTTCAAAACAACATTAAAATTCACTGAAAGCCACTAAAATTCAACTCAGTTCCATGGGGTTAAGTAGGATTTTATGAAATAAAGAGAAAAAAAGGGATGAGATGGGCAAGAGCTCTGCTCCAACTGCTCACTCATGGAAGGATGGAAGTTGGTAATTTTAAATAAATAAAAATAAAAATTAAAATTAAATTAAAATTAGAATTAAAATTGAAATTAAAATTGAAATTGAAATTAAAATTGAAATTGAAATTAAAATTAAATAGGGGAATTAATTAAATTAATTAATTAAATTAAAATTAAAGAGGGGAAAAAGCCCAAATTCTTCAAACACATCAGTGCCACCCCCCAGATAATCCCAGAATTGACCCAAAACCCCACCAGGAGAGGGAAAACCCATCTTTTTTTACCTTCTGACATGAAATAGGGGATCCTGAAGCGTCCCTCGAGCACTCTCTGTCTCAGGATGGGCAGAGTGGGACCATCAAAGGGCAGTGCCCCACACACCAACACGTACAGCACCACCCCCATGCTCTGCGGGGAAAAAAATGGGATTTTCAGTCCAAATCTGAGCTCCAGGAAAAGTCTCCAAGGTGGAAAAGGAAGGTTCTGTCACAGGAAATAATTCTGGGGGGGTTTGGATGAGGAAAAGGGAGCTGCACACACGTGGCTGGATGAGAAATGGAAATTGAGTCCAAATTTAGGGTGAAAATTCAGGGTATTTTTATTGATCTCAGCCATAACCATAAAAAACCCAAAGGAAAAAGACCCAAACAAACAAAAAACCCACCAAAAAAAAACCCCAACGGAAACAAAAAAAGCCCACCAAAAAAAACCACAAAACAAACAAAAAACTCATCAAAACAAACAAACAAAAAAACCACTAGAAAAAAAACCCTAAAAAAAACCCCAACGAAACACAAACAAAAATAAAACCCAAATCAAAAAAAACAAATCTCCCACCCCAAAACCAAATTAGGAATGAAAAGCAACCTCTGAAGGGAGAAATCAAAGATTCCTTCCCAAAAGCTGATTGGAATGCAGCTCAAATATTCCGTTTTCAGCGGTTAAAATAAAGGAGTTAAAATTTTAAAGGAGGAATTAAAATTTTAAAGGGGTTAAAATTTTAAAGGAGTGAAAATTTGAACTAAAAATTCAAATTTGGTACCCAAATATCCAGCTGGGGTCCCTCGTACTGCTGCCCTTCAAACACCTCCGGGGCTGCGTAGGGGGGACTCCCACACCACGTTGTCAGAGGYTCCCCGCTCTTATAGAAATTCCCAAAGCCAAAATCTGTGGGAAAAAAAATAAAAAAAAATAAAGGAAAAGTCACCCCAAACTCCCACTGCACCATAAAGATGTGAAAATCCACGCTGGTTCCATCCCAAATCGTTTTGTGGGGTGTCCCAGTGAAAATATTTGGATGTTGGGTGTCTCTGTTGCTGTTTTCTTGTTATTATAATAATATTAATATAATATAATGAATATATATTATAATTAATTATAATTACAATTATAATACTAATATATTATAATAAATATAATATCATTATAATATTAATAACTATTATTAAAATGCTGCAAAATCTTCCCAACGTGGAAAGGTTTTGAGGGAATTTRCACCAATCCGTGAACAGACATCAGTGAAATCCAACAAACTGACAGGCAGAGATGAGAAATGAGATTATGGATTTGCCAATCTGAGAGCTGAGATTTCCTGGGCTTTCCTTAGGAAAAGGATTCTGACAGGTTTGGATTTGGGAGGAAGGAGCTGTGCCAAGAGCAACAGGAATGGGAAAACAGCGGGGTTTTGACAGGGAAGGACATTGCTACTGGATTGTCTGCTGCTCTCGCAGAATCACCACTCCAGAAATCAAAAATTCATTAAAATGTTGGTTTTTATGGCTTCATACGGGACCAGTTACGGTCTGGTATCAACCAGAAGAAAACTTTGTGTGACAAATCCAGGAGAAAATCCTGAGTGACAAAACCACGAGAAAACCCTGAGCCACAAAACCAGGAGAGAACCCCCAGAATCAAAGAATTGAAGAAATATTTAATGAAGACCCSAAAAAAGTTCCCCTGGAGCTGTTTTAGAGCAGCAGCCCAGAACTGACCCTGCTGACTCTGGGGAAGGAATGGGGGCGATTTCCCAGCAGAAGCTCCAGCAGCCCTTCCATAGAATTCTTCCCGTGAAATCACCCAAAAATGAAGCATTTTGGGACCAGCAGAGGGTTTTGGAGCAGATAATGAACAAATTTTGCTATAAAGAAACATTTTGTTATAAGGAAACTCCCCTAAAGCCCTGAACAGGTGGAACCTTAAATCCACGAGAGCCCTGTATGGGATCGGGGTCAGCAAACCCAACACCACCCAAAGGGTGAACTTTGGGACTGTGAGTGCCATCAAAGAGAGCCCCGCTGGGTGCCAGGGGCCAGGCTGGGTGCCAGGGGCCAGGCTGGGTGCCAGGGGCCAGGCTGGTGTCAGGGACCAGGCTGGGTGCCAGGGCTCCGTGTCAAGGTCGGGTCCCAGGGACGTCACCGAGCCCCGGAGCTGCCAGGGGCCAAGGCCAGCTCTGATCCCAACTCGTCAGAAACGGGGAGAGAACGTCCCTGCTGCCTTCCCTCCTCCTCCTCCT